AAAAAAGGGTAAAAGTTGCAAGTAAAATCATTTTCCTCTTCGATATGAAAGGAATTAACCCGCAGCATCAGAATGCCAAAACCCATCTCTGCATGGAGGTACTCGGAGAAGGAGCTGAACTAAATCTGGAATCTATATACAGACCATCCTGGAATGGCTAGAGAATGAGAATAGTTTCCCTTTTTTTTTTTTTTTTCCCGCACCTATTCTCAAACATGAGATCAATTCCAGAACTGGGATAAATTCATAAATTTCCACTTGAAGTTAAGAAGATAAAATCGGCTTTGGCCCATAAGATAGCATCGGAGGCACGTCAACTCTGCCACAAATAAATACAATTATTAGCTTCAAGAGGGTCCATAAAAAGGAAAGTAAGTTTGAACTGCAAAGTCCGTAAGAGAGAGAATTGCACAACTTATAGCACTAACAATTCAATCAAAAGTCGCACAAACTGACATAGCAAAATCATATTATGGTTGAGAACACAACTGATTTTAAAAGCCGCACAAACTAACATAGCAAAAGATCTGTATGACAGCTTTGTTCAATTGCGGAATGATGGGACCAGGAGAAAGCTTCGCCATTATTGTGGTCGTTAATAGCTGACGATTTTAGCAAGGCGTGAATCCCATTTCAATCGGAGGCCGGAACTATTCATTATGTTCTAAGATCTAAAAATTCTACACTGCCTCATTAACATGTTATTCTCCGGTTACCGAGTAAACTAGTAATTTATTCGGGACATGTACGAGTTCCAACCTTGCTTTAGTATAGACACAACTTACGAAAGCACGTGCACTTTTGCACATTCCTTCTTACCTTTGTCTAACTTTGATCATTCCAGTGCCGATCTGCATCGGTATACCCATGATTATGCATTCACTCACTCCTTCAATCTTGTCTTCTCTTCCATTTACAGAAGCATTGAATAGGTGATCTGCTGTCTTCTCAAACGAAGCCAACATCAATACACTCTTGTCCATTTTTTGAATTCCAAATCTCGTGATTCCAAGGACTTCGCCCTGTTAGGATAAATCGTTAACAATGTAAAATTGCATAGTTTCCACATATATACGTCTTAAAGTTCAAAGGAAGAAAAAAAAAAAGAGGGAACGGCACTCACCCTAGATGTCATCACATCTGCTAAAAGCATCATGTGCCGAGTATCTATGCTCATTCCGTGACTTTTCATAGTATACTCTATTTCATCGATAATGCAGGTTCTTGCTGCTTCAATTCCAAGTGTCTGCTGCACTTCAATGATGTGATTAGTTTTGGTATTACGCCCATCTACTCCTTCAGTGCCCATAACTCCTAGAAGGCCCGTTCTGAACAATATATAACAGGTAAGATTTCAATACATATATTTTTTTGAAGCAAAAAAAGTAAAAATCAGATTATATAAATGGAGCAGTTTAACATAAAATGGGAGTCAACTCGGAGAGAAAACAGTTTCCTCTACTTTTTGAATCTTACGTAAATTTGTGCCAAATCTTGTCCCAAAAAATTGTCACTTATACTTCTTTGAGGGGTGACTCTCTCCTCAAGAACTACACTACACTATCAACTAACAAATGCTTAATCAACGACAACAAAAACAAATCACGTTTTTGGAAAATAACCCACCTAAATGTGAACAATAAGTATAAGGCGGAATGAAATTGATTGTACAAGAAAAAGCAATGACCAGAATTGCATGAATCTGGAAAGAGTTGAGGCAGAATATGTGCTAATTGAAACTGATTTAATCATGAAACATAACATTCGCCTCAAATTGATTAAATAATTAAGAATATAGAGAACTTCAACAACAAACTCACCCTTCCACCAGCAATTTGTACTTTTTGCTGATGTCTGTTTTTTTATCTTTTTCGCTACTTATGACAGCACGCTCAACAGTTTTTATTCCCTGTCATTCACACAAAGGTATTAAATAACTATCTGCCACAATCATTCTGACCAAAAACTAGTAGTAAGAATTGATGGACAATCTTTTATTAACTATAGTTTGAGCCTCACCTTTACAAGAATATTCTGAAGCATCTTCGCAAGAAACTGGAGATGATGATATAGTTTGCTTCTATTTGACTCGTACGGAAGGATTTCCAACTTCTTAAAATCCAAAACCCTAATATGCTGCAAAATGTACATAAGTTTTAGATATTTAACATACAAGCCATATAACATTATGAAAGAAGGAGATATTCACCTCTTTCTTCAATTTGATTCTTGGGGTTTGTAATATTGAATCTCGGACAACATTAGCATCTATAGACAATAGTGCATCTTGAATCCTCTCCATGTCAAGTGTGATCACTACTGATGCTACTCTTGAAGTCATTACGGTCTTTATACTCTTAGCAACCTGCAGAAAGACCATAGATTACACATTCATTGAGAACAATATTAACTAAATACTCCGATCTGTTTGCAGATTCAATCATATTATTTTCTATCTGTTTTTACAAATGGCAAAGTAAAAGGCTACGTAACAAAAAAAAAAAAAAAGAGAAGCATTTTTCACAAAAACATCACCATTAATATGCAGAAATGAACATATTATAAATAGAACTCATTCAATGACAAATGTAGCATAAATTATTAGGAGAAAGAAAACGAAATGCACTAAAAATATTTAGTGCATTGTTACGTACCTGGCCTAAACTTATTTTCTCAATGCGGCCTCTTACGATTCGTGCAAAATTTACATTATTGTCGCACTCAAGTATTGCAGTGATAATGGGCGTGCTAATCTTTTTTGCTCCATTAATTATTTCTTTGATACGAGGAACTCCAAGTGTAACATCTAACAGAGAGTTGAAGACAATGTCATGTAAATTTATGACTATATCATCCTTAGTCACTCTTATTAAAATATTTCAAAGACTCACTCATGCTTGCAACCCCAGCAAAGTGAAAAGTTTTCAATGTCATCTGAGTTCCAGGCTCTCCAATACTTTGAGCTCCAATTGCTCCAATTGCAGTTCCGGCTTCGATTTTTTTGGAATGATAACGTGAGATACAAGTATCCAAAAAAACCTGCAAATTATGAATACATCACACACATATACACCCATTTATCATTTTTCAGATAGAACAAACCCTTGTGGGGAAAAAAAGGAAAAGAAATACAGTAAGTGCATTAGCACAGAAGTACACTCGTGAAGACACATGAGAATAATACAACATAGACAGGATGAACAAAGAAAGGCACAGCCTAGCACATACGCATTGTATGTTTCTACATATATAGCATAACACTATAATAAGTACAAAATTCTTAATTAGTTCAACATACACTATGTCCAACCTACCAAAAGATGCAAAACAAATGTATTGCATGTCCAATTAAGTCAGGGATCTTTGAACTACCAATCTATTTTAAAGAACAAGCAAACTAGATCTATACACGTAAACCAGCATTAATATCCTGCCAAGGCTCAACTACTACATTTACTTGTCGTATTTATATCAGCAACCATATTAACTTACCTACTGATCTGCAATCGTGACAAAAACAAAGTCATAGTCAGCCTGTTTGCAACAACTTCAGGTGATACTATGCAACTATGAGGATTAGTCACATATATTTGTATGTGGTTTCAATGTTTTTCTTTTATGACAATGAAACAAGCTAGAGATGGTCAATCATCTCTAGCAGCTAAGATAGGAGTATCACAGCTTTTTAAAGAAGTGATCAAAGGCACCCATCATCATCAGTCTGTGTAGGTCGGCTATTATTAAGTTCAGTCAGTGAACCAATAGCATTGCAAGGAAGCAATATCCCCATTAAAATTAAAAGGAGAAAAAGGCACACAAAAAATAGAGACAATATTTGGTAGAACATCAAGAAAACAGCAGTTGATACCTCTAGTTGTCTAGCAGTCGCTCCAGATAACTGCAGGACAATATTTTTTGTAGTTGCAGAATTTTCCATCTTAGCATGACCTTCAGTAGATTCACATGGATCCCATGTTCTTTTGAATGCTTTTACATAGTTATCAAGAAAAGATTTCAGAGAATTTTTGAATGCAGCTGAACAACCTCCCTCGGGAGTCATATCTTTTTTAGAAAGCCTGCTTTCAACTAGTTCAGACACCTTTTCAGGAGACAGCTTTTCAGTTCCGCCAGCAGGGCACGTGGCCTGTAAACCAGCATTTTAAACTTGATATTCAAACAAACACCGAACAAAAAACTGTAAATAATGACAACATTTCAAACCTTGGCTTTCAAAAACAGACGTTCAAAATTTAATGGAGCTCCATTTTTTCCTTCCATATGAGCAGGATCCATGCCGTCATCCCCATAACAGAACTGAATTATACATGCACTTGCATTCCGTACTGTGTTATCATAATGGACAAACAAGTCCTCTAAAGCTTTTATCAATCTACGGGACATGTACCCTGTGTCAGCTGTTTTCACCTGCAACAGTTCACGAAAAAATCAATAATAAAATGTTTTTAGGCCCAAATCCTGCCTTCTCATAAGATCGATGACAATCTAAAATTCCAATCTTTATTTATAAAAGAAATTTCTTTACTAAGGTACATTGGAATAAATCATGTAAACCTGAATTACGAATGAAAGGGCATATTTTGTCAAAAACCATTCATAAAAAGAACTGCCCTGGACAACAGAGTGCAAAGAATGCACAAATGCTTTTGAGGAAGCACCCGAATTTTCCTGCAATTATGGTCTTTTCACAAATGCTGCCTATAAGCCATGACCTCCCTCGAAAAGTCTACGTCACCCATGCAGGTGGCCCCTCGGGTCTCAAAACTTAGACCTCCCTCTTATAAGCTGAGGTACATGGCCAATTGAGCTACCTCGTAGGGTTCTCAGGTAGCAATAATTACTGCATTTTCAAAATCATGACCTCTACCAAACAAATTTAATATGTTCTAACAATTTTAACGATGTTAAGATAGATAGATGCCAGATCCACGTGCTGATTGTATTTTAGATATGTCCAAGCTCAAATATTGGTTGCACATGCGATTTTGCAAATCATGCATTGAGAAAACTGGTAGAATTTAGATCCTCATAAATTATGACCAAAATATATGGACATAGAATACAGACCGCAGTATCAACAAGACCTTCTCGTCCTCCCATAGTGTGGAAAAAGAACTCGGTAGCTGATAAGCCATCATAAAAGGAATGACTAACAAACCCTTTAGCCTGCATTAACAATTGCATAATGAGTCTCAATCATAAAAATACAATAAAATGAATCAAAAACTTGTATGCCTTAAGAATTCATTTTAAATTGGCTATTCTATGATTTCTCAGCACAATGATTTGTCCATACTGGACAGCTATGCCATTCTATACACAAGTCAATGTGCAAAGCCAATCACAAATAAATAAATAGAACATAAAATCCCACTGTTCGGAAGCCACTGAAGAATGCGGGAGCAAATACCAATGGGATTTTAGAAAGATAGCTCCCCACTTAAATTATATCAAGAATATTATTGCACTGTGTAGGTTCCTGCAGCATTGGCAATAAAAGTGGTGTTTTGTGGTTCTGTCAAATGAAATGTGGTTGCTTGCTTTTAATTATCTTAATAACATTCAAAGTTATTCAGTGACCATAAATACTAGCATGCTTTAACCAGACATCATCGGTACAATTGAAAAAATGAAGTGCCAAGAAGAAACCTTACAAGATGCTTCCTCATATCTAGACATAATGAGGACAACAAAAAAACAAAAAAAGCTGCAAAACTTACTGCAGGGGTTTTATCTTTCCTGGGAAAGTGAGGAAGACTACGATCTATGAATCCATTGGGAGCACGACGACCACCAACTGATTGCTGACCAACACAGGCAACCATCTGGCTGATATTAATAAGAGATCCTTTGGAACCACACTGGGACATGATCAACGGACTATTTCTCCAAGGCAGAGCTTTCATGCACAACTATTCAATAAAAAATAAAAAAAAGAATAAATGAAATCTCATTTCAACTCCTACAAGAATGCAATAGAAAGTAGAACAAAGATCAGCACCATTTGGGCAGCTTCTATAGAGTTCTTTCCTTAACGAGATGAGCTCAAACTTGTAGGAATGCAATTGCAAACTGAAAGTGTAAATCAAACAACATTTTTATTGAATTAAATTCTTTGTCTGAGACTGAAACTCTCGTTGTTATGAATATTTCCTTACCAAAATTATGATCAACTACTCCAGCTTAGAGAAATACACTGACAAAAACAATAAAGTGACCAATAAATGCAGAACGGAGAAACCAATACATACATAACTGAAATGCTCATAGTTAGTGAAAATCATCACTCTACCTTCCCAGTCTCTTCCCGAATCTTATTTAATATCCCAGTTATCACTGCCTCCAGTGATTGAGCAGCATCACAACCAGGTTCAGGTGGTAGATTTCCTTCTTTATATGACTTTATTTTATCATCACAGTCTTTAGCACCTTCGTTAATTTTCTGATCTTTCTCATCTCGCAATTTGTCACTTGGCTGAACATCATCAATCCCAATTGAGAACCCATGATTACCAATCCATCGGGCACTACATCCAACAAGAAATGGACAATATTACTTCTCCTTTTACTAATCATATGGGCATATAGTAATCTAATCTTATCAAAGCCATATCTGACCAGGCTTTGTATCATTAATATGACACTTCAGCACATATACAGGTGAGTGATGAAGATTAAATTAGCCACTTAGAAAACACATTCTGGATTAGAGAAAATAGGTTGGACACCAACTCATCTCCTAATATTATACAGTAACAAAGCAATCAAATAAATATGTAAATTAGCATGTAGGCATGATTAACCATCAAATGAAAAAAAAAAAAAGTCTAACAATTTGAACTCTCAAACTACTACTGTGAAAGCACTCTATTTTGCTTACAGATTTCTGGTCTTAAATATATATGACATAGAGCACTCGAGCTTATTTATATCGCAGTGAGGGGAGGAAAAAAAAAAAAAGTTCCATGATGCTGTTGACATTAGAAAAAAGAAATCCCAGGATGGCAGAAATAATGAAAGAACATTAGCAAAGCAAGCAAAAATACAAGGGTGTTAAAAAAAAAAAAAAAAACCTGTAAAAAGAATACCTTAATTTAGCTAGGCGATTCATACAAGCAGCAGCAGCATGAGCTTTGTAATCTCTGAGAAGAATAGAGTAAAGTCCATCCTTATTGCCATTTCCTAAATTGACATGGTGGACACAAGATATAATGACAACTTCACTGAGGACAAACGATGCTAAATGAATATGTTAAAAAAACTAAATTTGAAGAAAAAACAATCATCACACCTTCTAAGAAAGGACATTGCATTAAAATTCTAGTATTAGAAACACGCCATGCCATACATAAGTATAGAGAATAAAAGTGATCTTAAAACTTATAGCTTCACCCTTTTCTGGAAAATATTGCTTAATTAGCAAACTTCAAACAAGAGATAAATGTTAATGTTTTTGTTCGAAGATTCTACTAGCAAAATCATGAGGATGATAACAATAACAAAAGAAGAGTGAGAGAGAAGAAAAGACAAAAAGTATATATACATATACCTAAAGTTCCCTTCCCAAGTTGCCCAGATATCAATTCACTGTTACGGAAACAGACAAACCCATCAGCCGGACACATTGTCTCGAATTCTCTTTCATTTTCTTGAAGTTTATTGGAGTAGTTTTTCTCTCTAACAGTAAGATTCAAAAAGACCCTCACATTTGCATTTGGACGCACTAGGACACTAAATAATTGTTTTCCAGTCCAAAGCTCAACTGGCTGCAACACAACAATTTCTTCTACATTAGAAATTATAATACATATCTTACTATTAAGGATAATATTTCTTAACTAGTAATGATAATTTGCAAATTGCATGATGCTCAGCCGCATTTATATGGGGGAAAAAAACAACATGTCAAAGAGATATCTTATTCCCCCCTTAACATCATACCAATGAATTTCAACTATCAAAGAAAAATAGATGCCATAAGTTTTTATAAGAAAAAGACTTTGAAGTAAACAATATATCCTATGAGAAACAAACTTAACTCAAAGGTTGACATAACAAATCAACTATAAACAAAGAAACAAGTCTAGCAGCATAGCTGCACAGGGAAAACAATTAGGTGCTGGACAAGGGGTGAAGGCAAAAATTAGTAAGAACAGTGATATGAAATAATGCCTGAGACAGTTTTCAAATTGTCAGTCACGAGCTTAAAGTAAGCTCCACTTGGAACATCATCCTCGCTATAAACTGATTTTTAGCCAAGATTGGTGTGAGTATTAAGCTCCTAAAGAATCATATCTTTATGCAATCCAAACTATTGGCAAGACTCTTAAAAAGCGACGCCATAAACGATTCAAGTATTATACGTAAGCTAATATCCAAAGATGATAGAATACTTCTCTCTCATCATGAACATAAGAAAAAGCAAAACATGGCAGGAGTTCAATACAACAGAATTCGAATGTCAACCTTAATCACAGCAGGTGTTGGCAAATCGTTATGTTCCATGGCGTCCCCCATGTATGAACACATGAGAGAAAAAGCTGCACGGTCATAAAATGTGTCCTTCCGTGTAATCAAAAAAGAAGACGTGAGAAAATCTTGGGTAGAAGCAACCAAAATCTCTCCATTTTTTGGTGTACATAGATTGTTTTGGACCTGTCAAAAGAACAAAATGTTATAGAAAAACAATATACTACAAGATTCAAAAGACACGTGAGCTACTTCTTTATGAAAGAAAAAGACCTAGCTAATTATGAAAAAGGTGCCACCCTCACCAACTATGCCTCCTTTCAGTGGTTAAGACCAAAAAGGATCACTTAAAGATCAAACAAAATTTCGGCCATGCATACCTTTTGTAGTTTTATAGACAACAGCATAGAAAAACAAGAACAAATGAATCACTAATGTGTGGTATGCGACAAATGCTCTTAGAATTTGGATCCAAAGTGTAACAGCATGATAATGGAAAAATTAACGACGATGAGAGTGGAAACTAATTACCCCCATCAACAAAATTGCCTCTGTTCGAGCCTCCTCTGTTTGTGGGACATGCATATTCATTTCATCACCATCAAAATCAGCATTATACGGATTGCATACAGACTCATTAAACCTAAGTGTTCTCCAAGGCATAACTCTTGCCTGCACACACAATGAACTAATTTATTGCTAGAATTTGTATAGTTGTATTCACATCAATAGACAGTGTTTCATGCACTTCTTACAGCATAATGTTTCTTTGAAACATTAGCTTCCACAGCATCATACCCTGGTTGACAATATCGGTCTTTCATAGAAACTTGTTAACCTTGTTCACAGTAGTTCATTTTAAACATCTACACTTTTTTTGACTCAATGCACATTCTGGTGGCCCATTTATTTTCAGCTCAAGTTATTATAATCAACAATGTCAGCGGTATATGGGGCTTGATAAATATAGTTGAACCTGGTAAACTTTCTTGGTGATTCAGTAACTTCATATGGCACAAATTCCCAAGTGTCTATGCGCTTAGAAGGTCAAATCTTTTTAAGTTGGTATCTCTATTGCACACGTACTATCTCATGTGCTTCACGTTACTGAGAAAGCTTATTTATGAGAAGAAGCTTTCATATGCTTTGTTAAGCTCGATTAACTGTGTTGGACTTAAGTTATTATACTAAATTAGGAAATGTAGTAAATAAAAATCAGTTACTAAAAGAAATAACAGAAAAACTAATGTAAAACTGTTACAGAAAACTCAATTCAAATATCAATTACCCTATGACACATGATAGACATCCGATGCAAGCTAGGTTGTCTGTTGAAAAGAACAATGTCCCCATCCTCTAAGTGACGTTCCACTATATCACCATATTTCAATTCATCTGCTAACCGCTTTCTGGAAACTCTGATAGACCTACAGCACAAACAACGAATCAAACCACTGAGAAAATGAAGAACTCACACATGCCCGCACAAGTAATAAAAGCATATGAGTCCTTGCCATGTAGAACCATCAGCACGTCTGAGCATCCTTGCACCAGGATATTTATCAGGGCCATTACTGACACACTGCCTCAACTTCTCTATATTGTGATGAGACACACGTTCAGGATAAGTTAAAATCCGAGCCATTCGTATGGGAATTGCAACCTAAACAAAATAAGCATATTAAAACCTAGAAATCAAAAGGCAATGACAATAACAGCTCAAAGACAAACACATTAAGCTTATGTTCAATGCCTAACCTCAGTAATTTTCAGATTCGGATCAGGAGATATAACCGTTCTACCAGTATATTCTACACGTTTCCCTGATAAATTTCCACGAAATCTTCCCTGCTTCCCTTTGAGACGTTGGATAAAACCACTATATTGCTTTTCACCTGGCTTGGGAGGCGGAATACCACGAACATCGCTATTTATATACAGTGCAACATGAGCTTGAAGAGCATCCCAGTTTTCCTAAACCACAGATATTAGCATGAGTATAACCAAACCACACCTCCAGGACCACTGCAAATAACTAGTAACTCATCTTTGTCAAAAACAGTGTTATAGAAAGAGATTAGACTAGGAATGTTAATAAATATTCATCATTAAACATGCTTTGACAGTGTCATTTATGCTAGAATTTTATACCAGGCATAGAGGAGTAAGTGATAAACATGAACGCAACAGTAATATTTGTACCAAATGTTAGACAAGTTCCGGAGTGCATGATTTAACAATTTGAATATCTACATGTACCAGAAACTTAGCTGCAGCACTTCCTTCTGATAAATCCTGCCGAAGCGTAGCATTCACTTGAATTATTTGCTTCAACCTCTCAGTTAGATCATTTTCATTGCTGCAACAGAAAATATTCCAAAAAAATAAAAATAATAAACATATAAATATTGTGAACAACTAGGTCACCTTAAACAATCTCAAACAGAGGAATAACGAAGCCTAATGGAACCAAAAAGAAAGTGAGAGAAATAGCTTGATAGTTCAGCAAAATAAAGGCTGAGATGACCTTTGTGATCCATCCATGATAACAGAAGGACGAATAGCTATAGGTGGCACAGAAATGTTTGTCAAGATGAGATTCTCTGGTCTAACAGAAAGGTAAAGTAACTCGCAGTCCTGCAAGCCAAAAAAAAAAAAAAGGCATGTAATTGATGTAGGGAAGAAGCGTACGAGATGCACAAAAAAAAAAAAAGGGATATAACCTTCCTAAGACATGTTGATTCACTTAGATACCGGATAATAGTATATCTACTAATCTGTTGACTCGCTCACAAATGCCAAAAATAGAGATAGAAATAAAACCGTTGATTCCAAGAAAACCAAATTGCACTCAAAAAATTTAGAGTAAAAGCTATGAATGAATAATATTATGGATAGAACTCCAAAAATAAACTTAACATTATGATAAGCCTTTGCTTAGGTAGGTTTACGTAAGGAAGGGTGGGGATAGTGGTCAGGGGTCTGAGAGTGTATAGTGTTGTGTGTGTATAGGCCTATGGGGGCTATTATGTGAGTAGGCCTACGGGGGCTATTATGTGAGGGGGTACAGGGGATTATGGTTAATGAGGGAACAAAAATAAATAGAATGACAGGCTAGATGGCCAGGTAGGAAGGATTGGAGTCTGTAACAGGAAGTCTTGGCATTCTGCTGAGCAAGGGAGTTCTCTCGGTTTCTAAGAAACCGTTTGTGTAGATCTTGTGGATAATTCAATAAAGATTCTTTCTTTCGTTTTCTTGATTCAATTTCGTGAACTAGTTACTCTGAATTTATCAATTTGGTATCAGAGCAACGTCTTGGGAGAATTATGGTAGCAAGAAAAGCAAAGGAGAGGTTTGAAACGGTAGAGAAGGAGATCAAGGAGGTTAGGGATCGATGGAGAAGGGGATTGGGGAGATGGAGAAGGGCATCGGAATGGTTAGGACTGAGATGACTCAGAATCTCACGGAATTGCGTCGGTTTATGGAGGAGCAGATGAGATTGTTGGCGGCACCGGCGAAAATGCTCGAGAAAGTAGGAACGTCGACGACTATGGCGGAGCCGGAGTGCGAGGTGGCGCCGACAATAGTTGCGGGGTCACGAGGTACGGAAATTGCGGGATCGCGTGCGCGAATCGAGGAACGAGTGATAGATCCTAGGGTTCTGCAGAACGCACCATTACCGGCAGAAACCCTTGGGTTACGTGCACGGGGGGGAGAACGACCGGCAGAACCTAGAAATTTGCCGAATTCCTGTCGCGACGGGGGGAAGAGGAGCGAGAGGGTCGACGTGAGGGAATGAATATGGGTCCAAGGGAAGGAGTGATGGGACGTCGTGAAGAGTGGCGAGGGGTTTTCGGTGAACCTGAAAATCCAGGATTCCGCGATCAAAGAGGCAGCATGGGTGGTGATGTTTACAGAGGGGGGTGACACAGGGAGAGTTGGGATAACAGAGGGATTTTGGGGGAGCTGCCAGAGAATGAGGACTGGGCTTCATACCACTGGCGTCAGGTGGAGTGTCCGTTATTCAGTGGCGACGATCCCGACGGGTGGGTATTCCGAATGGAACAATTTTTTTCCATCAACCGCTGCTCAGAAAGAGAGAAGTTGATTACCGCTGGGATTGCTTTAGAAGGAGACGCCCTGTCCTGGTTCCAGTGGTAGAATGGACGCCGTCCTTTTCATGGGTCTGTCTCTTTTGCAGCGGTTTCGTTCATCACAGGCAGGAAATCTTTGCGAGAAGTTTTTGGCGATCCGGCAAGAGGGTACTGTGGCGGAATACCGCAGACAATTCGAAGTTTCTGCAGCTCCACTCCTAGATGTTCCTGAGGAGATTTTGGAGGGCATATTTGTTAACGGATTAAAGGCGGAAGTTCGGGCAGAGTTACGGCTCTTGAAACCGGAGGGATTAAGTGAGATAATGGAAATCACCCAAAGAATTGAAGAGAAAAACGAGTTGCTTCGTAGAGAGGTGGCGGGATCAAGGGTGATGAGACCACAATTCTTTGGAAGCCCTCGAGCGGAGCTACCAACATTTTCTGCTAGACCAAATTCTGGAATGGACCGATTCCAGCGAGCTCCAGCCATGTCGGATAGAACAGCGACTCAAAAACGAGATCTTCCTTTTCGGAAGTTGTCGGACTCCGAATTACAGGAGAAGAAAGACAAGGGATTGTGCTTTAGGTGTGACGAGAAATTCACTTTTGGTCACCGTTGTAAGAGGAAGGAGCTTCGGATTATGTTGGTTAGCGATGATGAATCCACGGAATGTTTGGAGGAAGACGACGACGTAGCTAAGACTATTTGGGAGGAGGGGCAGCCCGAGCTTATTGAGCTATCATTGAATTCCGTGGTTGGGCTATCAACTCCAAAAACTATGAAGATTCGCGGGATGATTGCTCGACAAGAGGTAATTGTACTAATCGATTCTGGAGCAACACACAATTTCATTTTCTTAAGTTTAGTTGAGAAGTTATCCATCCCAATTTTTCCTACGGCTGGATTTGGAGTGCAAGTGGGCACGGGGGAGTCGGTTAAGGGGCAAGGTCTATGTCGAGAAGTGACTTTGAGTTTACCGCAACTAACCATTATAGAAAATTTTTTGCCATTGGAATTCGGGGGGGTGGATGTTATCCTAGGCATGCAGTGGTTAGAAACGTTGGGGGGTATGCACGTGAATTGGAAGTCTCAGTAGATGAAGTTTCGGATTAGGGGAGAGGTGGTTACATTGCGTGGTGACATGAGTCT